GCATAAGCCGGGGGCCCGGTGAGCACACTGGGATAGCCGGGGAACCCAAAGTGGTCGGCGCCGCCTGTATCGGCGGGGTACAAATAGAGCCGGCGACCAAACGCAGGACTGGCGGAGGGCGGCGGGGGGGCTTGGGCGCCCAGGCCCCTTGGGGGTCTCTCCCCTAGGGTTGGGTGGGGCATTAGGTGGGGCGGACTCGGGATGCCCCCCGTTGCCAGGCCCCCCTGGCTCGGGGTCCCTGAGCTCGTTCTACTTGGTGTCCCTCCTCCCCCTGGGGTCCCCTCGGGGGGCGGGCTGGCGCTGGCTCCCTCGGGCCTGCGACGCGCCACCCATCGCCTGTTCCGAGGGCGCGATGGGTGCAGCGCGCGAAGGCGGGCCTCACACGCCCGATTCGCGGCGCGAAGGCACCCCTCGCCAGCGCCGAGAGCGCGAGGGGTGCGGGAGGCGGGGGCCCGTCTGCTGTCGCGTGGGGCCCCTGGCCCCCAGGGCGGTGCGCCGCACGGCGCTTCCAGTGCGACCCGCGCCGCCCTGGGGTTTCGTCGGCCCTGCCCTATTAGTGGGGCTGCTGGGGTCCGCTGGGGGGCCCCGCGGCACGGGGCGCCCCTTTTTCTGCTGTTTTTTCAGCCGAGGGCGGCCCAGGCTCGACTCCTAAGGCTGCCCAGTGTTTGGGCTTCCCTGCGCTCATGGAGTCCGGTTGCGCCAATGAGGCTAATCCTGCTAATCCTCCTTCCTCCCTCCCCCTCCGAGGTCCTTGGGCGCCCTCGCTGGTGCTCGGCGGCCCTGCGGCCGCGGGGTGCCGTCCCTGAGCGTGGAGCCTCGCCGAAGGCGTCCCGGGGATGCCCGAGTCGTTCCCGGGGATGCCCAGGGGGCTCGAACGATGAGCCGAAAGCCGGGTCGACTCAGGTTCGACCGCCGGTTCGACTCAGGGTTGACGCAGGTTCGATGCTCGTTTTGGGGACCTTTCTGGGGCCTATGCACGCTGGATCTGTTCGACCCCAGTCCGACTCAGGTTCGACTCAGGTTCGACGCAGGTTCGACTCAGGTTCGACTCAAGTTCGACTCAGGTGTCGACGCGGGTCGACGGACGTTCGACGCAGCTTCGACGCGCGAGTGGAGCGAGTGGCTCTGAGGAGGTCCCCAGAACGAACGTCTAACCGGGCTGCGCTCAGGGAAGGACGCATCGACCGCCCGTCGCCCATTGTTCGATGCTCGTTTTGGGGGCCTTTCTGGGGCCTCTGCACGCTGGACCTGTTCGACTCCAGTCCGACTCAACTTCGACTCAGGTTCGACGCAGGTTCGACTCAGGTTCGACTCAAATTCGACTCAGGTGTCGACGCGGGTCGACGGACGTTCGACGCAGCTTCGACGCGCGAGTGGATCGAGTGGCTCTAAGGAGGTCCCCAGAACGAACGTCTAACCGGGCTGCGCTGGGAGGGACGCATCGACAGCCCGTCGCCCACTGTTCGATGCTCGTTTTGGGGACCTTTCTGGGGCCTCTGCACACTGGATCTGTTCGACTCAGGTTCGACGCAGGTTCGACTCAGGTTCGACTCAAGTTCGACTCAGGTGTCGACGCGGGTCGACGGACGTTCGACGCAGCTTCGACGCGCGAGTGGATCGAGTGGCTCTAAGGAGGTCCCCAGAACGAACGTCTAACCGGGCTGCGCTCAGGGAGGGACGCAGCGACCGCCCGTCGCCCATTGATCGCCGACCGTCGGAGGAGGAGAAGGCGCCCATCCTTCGGCGGCGAGCGAGGGGGGGGTGAGAAGGAGAAGGCCTTCTCTCGGAAGGCGGCGGGGCTTCTCGGAAACCCTCGCGCCTTCCGGGAAGTTTCCTGTGCGCCTTCGGGGAAGGCCTAGGACATTTTTCGCACGGCCGGGGAATCTCCGAGCCTTTGATGCCCATGCCCGCCCCCTCTCACTGCCCCACCCCGCTCGCCGCCGAGAGTGCTGCAACCCTGGCCCGGCTCTCCTCTTCGTAGGGGTCTCCCGGGAGGCCCTCGCCGCCACCGCTGTATGCGCCTCGGGGTTGACCCACGCGCAGAGGGGGGTGGGGTGGGTGGGAGGGGGGATTCTTAGCAGCACCCCTGCTTCTTAGAAGGCGCGGGCCGTATCTATAGATGTAAGGCCGGCGCCTTTTAAGAAGCAGCGTCCTTCTACGAAGCCCTCCCCCCTCCCTCCAACCCCTTGTGCGCGCCGCCAAGAGGTTCTGGCCCGAGCGCACCCCGGGATAGGCCCAGGGAGCAGCGGCATCGGTACCTTCTTTCGGGGCTCGAGAGACGGGGGTCGATGCAAACGGGGGCCCGCCAGAGCGCCCGATCTTGCAGGATCCTGCAGGGCCAGGGTCGCGTTGCCCCGGCCGGGTCTGGGTGCAGGATTCTGCAGGCTCTTGCAGGATCCTTTTGCGCTAGCCCCGGCTTGGGCGCAGGATCTTGCAGGATCTTGCAAGGTTCTGCAAGGCTTGACTGACCAGGGTCTGCATTGACCCTGGTCAGGAGATCCCCGATACCTGGTCTCCCCTTGGCATGGGGCCCCGCCGAGGCACGGGCGGATGTTCGCTGTCGGGGGGGCCTATCGCCGGCGTTCACCTCCGAGCTCCGCGCCACGCTTCCCCTCCCGGGGTCCAGCCCTCCCTGACGTTCCCCCTGAGTTGAAGAGGGGGGGACTTCCAACATACGAATGTGTGCGTCGCCCCCCTAGGGGTGACGCGCGCACAGAGAAATCTTGTAGTATAATTGCGCGTCGTGGCGGGCGGTTTCTGGCCACACCGCTCGGGAAGCGATGTACTACAAGATGGGTATACTATCTGTTCGGGTCGGACGCGCGCCCCCAAGGAGGACGTACAGTATTTGTACGTGTCTGTGCGTCCCAGAAGAGGCCCAGGAGGAAGGGTTCCCCTCCTCCCCAGCCAGTCGGTCGAACCATCGGCACGGGTTATTGGCAGCCTCTTCCAAGGCCCCTCCCACCAGTCGTGGGGGTTGGAAGGCGAGGGGGGGGGAGGGAGGGAAGGAGGGAGGGGGAGGAACCTGTCTGCAACAAGTGGCAGAATCAGCGAGCCCAGCCAGAACGAGCGAACATACAAAGGGTATGCCGGTTGCGCAGGTTGTACACGAAACACATGGCGCTGCACGCACGATGGGCCAGAGTCACATTTGAACACACTATCCCAAAGACATGAGATGGATTGGGAAGCAGGGCAGCAGGACGACAACGAGAAAAGGGACCGAGCATACCACGAAAGCTCCCTGGGAGGGTGTGCACGTTTGGGTGTGCGCAGGACCGCCCTCAGCGGGACCTCCTGGGAGCCCATGCGAGTGATGACAGCTGGACGCCTGGCAGCACCAGGGAATGCGAGGTCTCGTGTCGACCGCTGTACGACGTCGCTCCGCGGGGCTTCCCAGAGGCCCACGAGAAGTACCACGGTTCCGCACTTGGCAGCACCCAGGAAGGGCAAGGTTTCGTCTGGGCCTGCGAGAGAAACCACTGCGCCGGACCTTCCATAAAGCCTACGAAAGTGGCAACCGTTGCGCGCTGTGCAGCACCCAGGGAGGGCGAAGTCTCGCTCGGATCTGAGAAAGGAGCCACTCCGCTGTAATTACCTCCCATGAATGAGCCACTGGCAGCAGTTGCGCAATTCGCAGCATGCAGCACGCTGGGATGGCGAGTTCTCGTTGAGCCGTGCGAAAGGAAGGAATCACTTCGCTGGGCCACCAGGAGCTCTCAAAAGTGGTGACAGTTGTGCACTTGGCAGCACCCATGGAGGTCGAGGGCTCGATATTGGGTTTGCGTTTCACGCAGACAGCTCTGCGTCTCGGGGAGGGCGTGCGTCCATGTCTGTTAACGTGCGCCCTCGCGCGCTCCGAGACACCGTTCCGCCGAGATTCTCGGGAGCACGCGGCAGTGGCGACATTTGCGCAGTCGACGGCGCTCGGGGATGGCGAGGCCTCGATGGGGTCTTCGCGAGACAACTCCGCTGGGCCTCTCCAGGAGCCCACCGAGGTGGCGTCCGCTGCGCCTGTGGCGGCAGCCACGGTGGCATGGCAGGAGGCAGGCGGGATGCCCGAGGCATGGAGAGGGAGGGGACGGGCGGAGCGGGGTGATGAAGGAGTACAGTCAAAAACCCTAATAAGGACGCGCGACTTTGCTCGGGGTGCCCTTGCTCTTCCTTGCTCTTCCTTGCTCTTGCGTCCTCGAGGTTTTCGTCGTCCGCCGCCCCAACAATCCCAACTTCGGCTTCCAAGGGTCTTGCGTCCTTACCGCGCGTCCTTATTAGGGTTTTTCGGGGGTGGACAGAACCCCCAACAGTGACACGTCGATTAGTGAATTGTCCGTTTTCGGTTCTCGAGAGGGCCCCGCGGCCGTTATTTTCCAGGCTTGCGCCCGCCAGGTTTGGGCCTCAAATCGTTTTCACTAAACCACGTTTTACTAAAGGCGGGTCTGTCCATCCCCGATTTTGAACTGTAGCACCAGCGCGCTGAAGGAGCGAAGACCCAACCATGGAGGGTTGGGGAAGCATGGTGCGCCGCGCCTCCGGGTTCCCCCTCGCTCTGGCCGTTCCGACTCCCGGGTCTGCTCTCTCCGCTGTGAGGAGGGGGCGGAGTAACACTGAGGATCGACGTGAGGGGATCGAGTTCTCTCGAGGGGTGAGGAGGGAGGGAGGGGATCGAGAGGATCCAATGCGATTGCCGGGGCCAGCTCCGTGCGAGAAGAGGAACTCCAGTCGGAGGGGATCCGGTGTTCGACTGAAAGTTGGAGGATGCCGACTTCGTTTGGGGGGTAAGGTCGTGCGTGGGCGGCGCGCGCATCCGTATCCGCGGCCTCGCGGGCCGGGCCCCTGGGCCGCGACCCCGCGGACACGGGGCGTTCCATCGCGGGTGCCCCGTGCGAGTCCGTGCGACCGCGCACCTGCGGGGCCGCGCCGCGGAGTCCAGACAGCGAGGGAGCTGCTACGGATACGCCCGTTGGGCGTGAAGGTTGATCCATTTCGTTGACGGGGGAAGGGTTAAGTCGGGCCTGTCCCCCTACAGGGGATTTTCGACGAAAAACAAAGTCCTTTGAAAATATTCAAAAAATAATCAAAAAATAGTCCAGGGACTATTTTTTGAGTATTTCTGGACCTTTGGGGGGTATTTTGGTTATCTTTTTAATTTTTCGTCGAAAATCCCCCTGTAGGGGGACAAGCCCGACATAAGGGAAGGATCGGGATCCCGCAGAGGGTGTGTGTGTGTGTGTGCCCGGGGGCCGTGTGTGAGTTCGATCGGTTTCTGCACCGAGCTGCCCAGAGCAGATGCCCCCCCGGCCGCAGGCAGCTCCCGATGGTTGCTCATAGGTGGGGCATGCGGGGGGCATCTGTTTTCGGCGCTTCGGTGCACCAGCGGATCGAACTCATGCCCTTCCTCAGGGTCACCCCCCCACCCAGGAGGAGGAGGAGGAGGAGGAGGAGGAGGAGGAGGAGGAGGAGGAGGAGGAGGAGGAGGAGGAGTAGGAGGAGGAGGAGGAGGAGTAGGAGTAGGAGAGGAGGAGTTTGAGGAGGAGTTGAGGGGAGGATGAGTTTGAGGAGGAGGAGGAGGAGGAGGAGTTTGAGGAGGAGATGGAGGAGCAGTCCCGAGAGGAGAGAGACGCCGCCTCCCCCGCCCAGTCGACAGCGCTCTCTCCGCGCCCCCCGTCGGCGGCGCCGGCGCCATCGCCGCGCCGTCAGGCCTGGGGGCCCCCAGGGCGACGGCGCGCGTGGTCCCTCGGGGGATTCAAGCCGCCGCCGCCGCCGCCGCCGCCGCCGCCGCCGCCGCCGCCGCCGCCGCCGCCGCCGCCGCGTCGTCGTCGTCGTCGTCGTCGTCGTCGTCGTCGTCGTCGTCGTCGTCGTCGTCGTCGTCGTCGTCGTCGTCGTCGTCGTCGGTCGTCGTCGTCGTCGTCGTCGTCGTCGTCGTCGTCGTCGTCGTCGTCGTCGTCGTCGTCGTCGTCGTCTTCGTCTTCGTCCTTGTCGTCCTTCTCACTTCACCTGGCTGGTGCGGCAGCGCATGCCGATCGCGCGAGCCGTCGTCGTCGTCGTCGTCGTCGTCGTCGTCGTCGTCGTCGTCGTCGTCGTCCTCGTCGTCGTCTTCGTCTTCGTCGTCGTTGTCGTCCTTGTCACTTCACCTGGCTGGTGCGGCAGCGCATGCCGATCGCGCGAGCCTGCACGGGGCAGAGCCGAGCTGCGAAGACGTCGTCGTCCTCCTCGGCAGCTGCTCCCTCGCGCGCGGAGTCTTCCACAGCACCCGCCGAGAGGAAGGGGCAGCCTGGGGCTTTGGGAATGGGCTGGGAGGACCAGGAGCAGGAGGAGGAGGAGGAGGAGGAGGACCAGTGTAAACCCAAGAGTCACCAACGGTGTTGGAATAAACTCTCCCCCCAGCTTCCTCGTCGAAGGCCCCTACAACGGTTCATTTCCACAGAGGGACCTGCATCGTTGGACGACAACCGTTTGACGACCCTGAAACATGCTAAAACATTATTCTCGGTATTCCAACCGCACGGATGAACCTGACTGTTGCGTCTTGACGATCCTGAAACTCCTGTGGCCTCAACTCCGCGAACCATTGTAACTGTTGCGCCCTCCAAATCGTGAATCCTTCCAAAACACAGTTTCTGGTACGTCGATCATGGGAATCCTTGAAACTTTTGCAGTTTTTGAAACGAATGTGCGTGGCGCTTAGGCGAGAGTCACATTTCGCGAAGGAGCCGCTCTCAATCCGTGAAGCTCTTGCAAATGTTTAAGACGAATGTGCGCGGCGCTGAGGCGAGAGCCACGTTTTGAAAACGACCCGCCTTCAATTCGTGAAACTCTAGCAAATTTCCAAAACGAATGTGCGATGCGCTGAGGCGAGAGCCACATTTTGAAAACGACCCGCCCTCAATCTGTGAATCTCTTGCACATTCTTCAAACGAATGTGCGCGGCGCTAAGGCGAGAGTCACCATTAAAAAAACACCCGCCCTCACTCCGAGAAACTCTTTCAACTTTTCAACACGAATGTGCGCGGCGCTGAGGCGAGAGCCACATTTTGAACACGACCGCCCTCAATCCGTGAATCTCTTGCACATTTTTCAAACGAATGTGCGCGGCGTTGAGGCGAGAGCCATATTTTGAAAACGACCCGCCCTCATGCTGTGAAATTGTGAAACTGTTGTCAATGTTGAAGCTTCATGGTCATTAGTGGTGAGGAAGTCTAAGGCGAAACGCCCGGCCCGCCCTAAAATCTGGCCTCGGGGTGCGACACGGAAAAGTTATTTGTAAGGAGAGGGAATGGAGGAGGAGGGGGAGACATTGCGCCTCTCTTCTCTCCTCTGATCCTCTTTCTGGAAACTTGCGCCTCTCTCCTCTCTCCTCTTTTGTCGTCGTCCTCGTCGTCGCCACCGCCGCTGTTGTCTTCGCCGTCGCTGTCGTCGCCGACTTCTTCCTGGCCGCCCCCCCTGAGATGGGGCGTCTCCTCCTGGCCGCCCTTCTTGGATGAGGCGTTTTCTTTGTGCTCCCGTCCCCCGTCTGGGTTCTTCTTACTCCTCCTCCTCCTCCTCCTCCTCCTCCTCCTCCTCCTCCCTTTCCCTCCTCTCTGCTTTTCCCTCCGCCTTCCGGGGCAGGCAGGCAGGAGCGCCAGGTGCGCGCACTGTACGCTCGCGCGCTTGCGCGCCGCCGCTTGGCGACGAGGCAAGCGCGGCTCCCAGGCGGCCCCCCAAACTGGCTCGCACGACGCGCACGGGGCGCTTGCCCGATTCGGGGCAGCGTTCGTGCCCGCCCTTTGCCCAGGGTTTCGGCACCAGCGCATCCGGCTTGGCAGTGCTTCGCCCAGACCCAGACCCAGGAGGAGGAGGAGGAGGAGGAGGAGGAGGCGGATGCGGAGGAAATGGATGATGATGGGGATGGGGATGAGGATGAGGATGAGGACCAGTGTAAACCCAAGAGTCATCAACGATGTTGGTGTAAACCCTGTCTCTCTTCATAGGCCCCTACAGCGGTTCATGTCCATTGATGGAACTGCCTCGTTGGAATGCACCCGTTTGAAGACCCTGAAGCATGCCAAAACATGATTATCGGGATTCCAACGCCACGGATCAACCTGATCGTTGCGTCTTGACGGTTTTGAATCGTGCCAGAACGCCATTCTGGGTCGTCAATACAGAGAATCAGCGTAACTGTTGCTCCCGCATAATCCTGAATCCTTTCAGCGCACCATTTCTGGTACGGATGGGAATCCGTGAAACGCTTGACGTCTTTAGACAGACTGCGCGCCGCGCTAATGCGAGAGCCACATTTTGAAAACGGCCCGCCCTCAGTCCGCGAAACTCTTCACATTGTTCAAACGAATGTGCGCTGGCCGCGCTGAGGCGAGAGCCATATTTTCAAAACGGCCCGCTCTCAATCCGTGCAGCTCTTGCACTTCTTTCAAAACGAATGTGCGCGGCGTTGGGGCGAGAGCCACGTTCTGATAACAACCCGTCCTCCATCTGTGAAGTTGTTGCCAATGTTTGAGCTTCAGGGTCCTGCATGGTGAGAAAGTCTTACGCGAAAAATCCCAGCCCGCCCTAAAAACTGGCCTCAGGGTGCGACAGGGAGATGTTATTCAAACGGCAAATGAATTGAGGATGAGGATGGGGATGATGATGATGATGCTGATGATGATGATGCTGATGATGCTGATGATGCTGATGATGATGATGCTGATGATGCTGATGATGCTGATGATGCTGATGATGGTGGTGGTGATGCTGGTGCTGATGATGCTGAGGAGGAGGAGGCAGAGGATGAGGAGGAAAATGATAAGGAGGAGGAGCAGGAGGAGGAGGCGGAGGAAATGGATGATGATGAGGATGAGGACGAGGATAAGGATAAGGATGCGGATGCTGATGATGATGCTGGTTATGATGATGCTGACGCTCATGCTGATGATGGTGATGATGATGACGATTATGATGGTGATGGTGATGGTGATGGTGATGATGATGATGGTGATGATGATGATGATGCTGGTGCTGGTGCTGATGCTGATGCTGCTGGTGCTGGTGCTGGTGGTGGTGGTGGTGATGGTGGTGGTGATGATGATGATGATGATGATGATGATGATGATGATGATGATGATGATGATGATGATGGAGGAGGATGGAGATGAGGATGAGGATGAGGAAAGGAGGAGTAACATCTAGGAAGACTGGGGGGGGGAAAGAGAACGCCAGGCTGCCCGAAACCCCCGGGTGGCAACGACGGCGTCATGCCCTTGCGGCCGCCCCCGCGCGCCGTGAGCTTTCGGGCCTGCGGGGCGGTGGCCGCGTGCGTCTTCGTAACGGTCGATTGGGGGCGCCTCGCGGTGATCCCGCGGAGGCGGCCTGGCCAGACGGCCTGGTGTACGTCCTGCTGGGGCATGGCCGCCGCGCGGTCGCGTGGCACATCGCCGTCGAGGACGTGGGGCCATTCGCAGGAGGTGCCGCCTGCGCGAGGCTCCAAGGCGGCGGGGGGGGGGTCGGCGATAGTGCCCCGTCAGGCCGCCCTCGCTCTCAGCAGCCTGGTATTCGGCCTCGCGGCGCTCTTCGGTGCGCTGCCGGGCCGCGGCGTCGCGGCCCGGGGGGTCCTGGGCGGGCCGCGGCGCACGTGCCCCGCGCCACGAAGCGCGCGCTCATCCCGCGTGGCGGCGGAGCGGGCCCAGGCTGCCTGCTTCATTTGTTAAAGGCGCCGCTGACATTGTCGCGCGCCCAGTTGTGTCGAGATGTTCGATCGTTCGGTCGTTATTGACCATGTTTGGCCTAGCTGATAGGGGATGGAGTGTGGAGTGCTCGGCCGTCTTGGTCCTGTTCGTGCCTGCTTGTGCCTCCAAAGGCTTCCTGCCCCCTTTCATTCCGTCAGCACTACGGGAAAGTAGTCCTTGAGGAGAGGGGGCCATTAGGCGTCTCGCCGATCTTGGGCCTTTGGCCCGGGTTGGGCCCCCTAGAATGGGCTTGGGAGGAGGGAGCCTACCCTCAGGGAGTCAAAAGGCTCATTTCCCCCCCCTCCCCCCGCCCCTGGCCCCCCCCCGTTTTTGGGGTTTGGCCAGAGAGCTCCCACTCCCGATGGGGTGATGTGCGGCGAAAGGTACGCAACAGTCACACCCCGCCGTCTATTCCCTCTTCACCTCCCCTGTTGGGAAGTGGGCCATGTCGAGATGGAGACTCGCTTTTGCTCCCCTGCTGCCTTCGGGGTGTTGTTGCACGGGGGTGCCTCCCCGACGCAGAGCAGCCACGACGGGGGGAGGCTGCGGTCCCCGGCTCCGCCGAAGGACCTCTTGGCTTTCGACGCCCCTCGTCGACGGGTCGTCGGTCCGATCGGTTCCCGCGGGGTGGGGAGTCAAGGAGGTCACAGAGCGCGGCTCTTGAGCCACGCGCAGAAGGGGGTGGGGGGAACGGGGGGGGCTTCTTAGCAGCACCCCTGCTTCTTAGAAGGCGCGGGGCCTATGTATAGATGTAAGACCGGCGCCTTTTAAAAAGCAACCTCTTTCTAAGAAGCCCTCCCCCTCCTTCACCCTCTGGTGCGCGCCGCCAAGCTCTGGTTGGTCGGCAAAGAGTCCCCCGTCGCCTCCGCGGCGACCCCCACGAGGCTCGGGAGGCCCTGGGAGCTGCCAGGTGGCCAGAGTTCTTCAGAGGAGCACGCAAAGCTGCACAGACATGCTGTTGGAGGTCCGCGCGGATCTCTTGGGTCGGCGCTGGGCCCCCCCCGTCTTGGCGCGCAGGGCGCGTCTGG